TTACAAACTCCACCTCCCATTCATTTCTTTTATGAAGGAAGATTGTCAGCATCTCTGTCATTCTGGAGGGAAAGCTTTCCTGGAACTTTTCCAGCTCTTTTATGTCTCCCTAGAGGTCTGTGCATTGACGTGCGCATGGCCTTCTGGATGCCTCTGCTACAGCAATGGAGAAGGAGGATATTGGAGAAATCATTACCATGTCTATTTTTAAATTGTTGCTACGATCTGGTGTACAGTATTTAAAAACAATTGGCAATGCTTGCTTAATTAAAAAACCTTCAAGAAACTGGCTGAGATGAAAAGTAGTATTTGCTAGTATTAAGGTGGTGTGACCATTATCAGATTGTGATTTGTGATCTTGGTTGTCAACTTGACATCCTGAGAAAAGGTAAACTTAGTTAAGGAATTTCCTCTATCAGATTGGTCTGTGTGACATTTTCATGATTTCTAATTGCGGTAAGAGGACCTAGCCCACTGTGAGTGGTATCACTTCCCCCTTACAGATAGGCCTGGGCTCTGAAAGAAAGGCAGCAAGCAAACCAGCATCATCCATCAGTAAACAGCATTTCTCTATGGTCTGTCTTCAGTTCCTGCATCCAGGTTCCTGCCTTGAGTTCCTACTCTGATAGACTGTGACCTGGGAGTTGTAAGCTGAAATAAATCCCTTCCTCCAAAAATTGCTTTTGGTCATGGTGTTTATCATAGCAACAAAAGCAAACTAGAACACAGACCTTACAGTGGAACAAAGGGCATTACTTGCCTAAGACAAAGTCTACAAAGCAGAATCATGGCCCCAGGGCTGAGATCTTGAGCAAAGAGGAAGGAGGAAATGTACCTTTGTTGAGCTTTATGAATTACTCCAGGTGGTTCCCATTCTAACTTTATGGTAAAGCAGACCTCAAGCTCTGCATAATTAGAAGACCAAGAAGTAACCCTTCCGATGCTGTAAATCTATTAAGGAATTCAGATAAGGTATGTTTTATAGCCAGCCGTATTTCCCTCTTCACATCCACCAGCCAAGTATGCTGATTGCTACTCTAAGCCTCACATGGTACTAGCCCATGTGGACTCAGTTCTTGTCTTGAAAGGTGTTTGAGCCTATTCAAGGGAAGCAGATGCATAAACAAATAATTGCAGTAAAAATGCTTAGTGTCTGTGCATTCCCACGTGCATACACATGAGGTTTTGCTTTTGAATTTTCCATTGAAATTTGAAAAATAAATGGATGTGAAAATCTCCTTCAGGTAGATTTTAATTCCATGACAAGACAGGTCAACTGTTATGGAGGGTGATTAAAGATGAGGATTTGCTTTGTGGGACTCTGTGGCACTTGAAACCACTTGTTTACCTTCTTTCTTGCTCCTCCAACTTCCTAACTTCAGTGAGACCTGAAAGATTAAAAGCTGATCATCAAATACTACATTAAGTTAAAGAAGCAGCCACTGTGGAGTCCAGTAAGCGACAGGAAAGTCCACAGCCCCTAATGTATCTTGGGAAATGTCTTTCTTTAATTATTTGCAATTATATCCAATTTATTTTTACTTTTCCATAGAGTAATGCCTAGTTATATTTTATGTCCCTCCCAATCGTGCATATATATTTGATACATAGTTCCAGGTGAATGCTTGCTAATCCTCGCATCAACTGTGGCAGAGCTCACTGATCAGTGTGATTTTTGATGATAATTATCCTTAGCACCAGGAAAAGTCCCAGAGTAAAACTTGGTCCCACCTCATGATTGGGCATTTGTTACTATCTAGAGAATAATATTCTGCTTTAATTCTGCTCTTCTTTAAAGCCTCCTACCTTAGCTACAAGGTGGCATCTATCATGGTACTGTTATACAGAATATTTGTTAGAAGAATGTCAAAATGACCAATTGATTTATTTTCATATGACCTTAGGAATCCCAATGTATCTTTGTACTTGTTAACATAACTGTTATAGTTTCATTTCTGTTTCTATGATAAATAAACCTGACAAAAAGCAACTTAGGGGAGAAAGGGCTTATTAGGCTTACAATTCTAGGTCACTTCCCTCCATTGCCAGGAAGTCAAGGCAAGAACTTGCCGAAGCATCTAGTTACAGCTAGTCAAGAGGAGAGAGAAAATGCATGCCTCTGTGCTCAGATAACCTTCTGTACTCTTACAGCCCAAAACTGATGACTCAAAATGGGGAGGGGGGATATTTCTACCTCAGTTAAGGTAACCAATACAATCCCCCTATAAATATGCCTACAAGCCAACCTGATCTAGACAATCCTTCATTGAGATTCTCTTCTCAAGTGATTCCAGATTGAGCCACATTGACAATTAGAGCTAACCATCACAATGACTTTGGGATAAGGGGCTAAGAGATAGATACTGTTTGTAAAATAATGAAAGTATTTATAATCACCATTGATTAGCTTTGCCTTGTTCCAGAAACCCAGTGTTCATTGACTTGTATAATCTTTGCAGGAACCCCAGGAGGTGGATGATAGAATACCTCCATTTCACCCTGAAGATTATGAGACTTCAAGTTACTAATAATTTGTCCAATGTTACACAATAAATGTTAAGCTTAGATTCAGAATCAGATCTGTTCTTCAAGCCTGACCGTTGTTTACAGAGAACTAAGTTGTGGGTGGTTTTTTTTTTTCTGAGACAGGGTCTCCTTGTAGTCACAACTGGCCTGGAACTCACTATTGAGACCAGGATGGCCTTGATCTTACAGAGGTCTACCCGCCTTTGTCTCCCAAGTGCTGGGATTAAAGGTGAGCGCCATCATGCCTGACTCATGTTTTCTTTTTTTCCCCAACCCTCTTAACTTTTATGAAGTAAGCTCTATTCTTTATATAGAATTCAGAAATTAAAATTTTAGATAATATTTCTAATATGTGTAATATTTTATGTAATAATATTTCTATGTAAAATCCAAGGATATTCGGATCATATGAAAGGATAGTTTTAACAGGGACCTTTAAATATACCCTCCAAACCTTAATCTGCTAGCCTATTATCAATCATAATCATATCTTTTTAACTGGAAGGTTCATTGGAAAGCACCCATTTCCAATTTATTAATGTATGGTGTAGAGTGTGAGGCAAAGGTTTGGCCCAGAATTTTCCACACAGCAGCTTTACTTTTCCTCTCAACGAATCCGAATCACAGCGCTCTGTGCTGGCCAATGAGCACCTGTCAGCATTTCATCTTCAGAGGTGACATGTCGCTCTGAGAGAACTTAAAATATGAAAACAGTAAATGGACTCACATTGAAAAAAGTTGGTTTTTCCAAAAGCAGGATGATTTTCTTTCTTTAAAAAAATAGGCATTTTGGCTTGGGAATGTGTTGAGAATTAGTAGTAAATTGGGGGGAAATTACATTTAGATACTAAATACTGTGAAGCTACTGACTGTGACTGTGCTGGATAGCTTTAGTGTCAGCTTGACACACCTGGGTTGAGGGAGCCTCAATTGGGGAATTTCCTACATTGGACTGGCCTGTGGCCATGTCTGTGGGTCATCTTCTTGATTGTTGAGTGATGTGGGAGGGCCCAGCCCACTGTGGGTAGTGCCACCCCTGGGCAGATGGGCCTGTGTTGGATAAGAGAGCAAGCTGAGCAGGGGCCAGGGGAACAAGCCAGTAAGCAGAGTTCCTCCATGGCCTGTGCTCCAGATCCTGTTCCTGCCCTGAGTTCCTACCTTGGGCTCCCTGATGAACTATAACCTGGGAGATGTAAGCCAAATAAACCTTTTCCTCCCCAAGTTGGTATTGGTCGGAGTGTTTTGTCACAGCAATGGAGAGACAAACTCAGACAGTGACTTTCCACTATGACTTGTTACCCTACATTTGAAGAATCACACTTTCAAATATCTGGTTCCACCTGAGCCTTCTTAGAATTCTAGAGCTTTGATTTAAGCTACTGCTTTGTTGACCATAAAAACACTAAGGACACTTTGTAGTTGAGTAGTATCTTCAGATAAAGCCAGGTTATTAAATTCTCTTACCACTCTATGGCATCTTAGGACTATCCAGAGATGGCCTGACTTCAGATCTTGTCTTTGATGATATCAAGATAAATTATTTATACTTTATTGAATGCTGGACAAATGCCTGGTTTGTGCACCCTACATCATGTTTTAACTTATTTAACATGGTATGGATAATAAGTGAAAGATTGGGGATTTGATTGCAGGTATGTGTAGCTCTCAAGCCCAGGGTGACCGTACTTGACTAGGGAAAGAGCCAAGCTGTTTCCTTTATCCCTGGTTCTCCATCTGTTGAGTAGACTGAGCTGTTCTCAGATGTCACACTTTGCTTCTTACTCTGCTTTACAGACTCTGCTTGGGCTGAAGCTAACCACAGGTGTCTGTTTAGTAATTACTGAGAAGTCTTGAGGGTCACTTGACATGCATTGTAAAGGTGCTTTGCATGTACTCCATATGAAGCTGTGTTCCAGAGTGATACCCCTCAAATACTGATTTGTTGACAAGCATCCAGAACCACATAGATCTTTCCATCATTTTCCTCTCTTGACCCTTTCTAAGGGATTTTTCAACCTATGTTACATGAGAGTTTTAGGACAGGGAGAAAACTGAATCTGCAAAGCTGGGTTTTCATCCTAAAACTTTGCTGATGAGACGGTGTGACTTTGGGAAATACTGTGTTTATGGTCATAAAATATTTTAGAGGTTAGTCAGCAGAACTGGAATTGAAATGCATTTAAAGTAAAGAAAAACTAATCTGGGCACAGTAGCTCACCCCTATCATCCCAGCACTTGGGGTGCTAAGGCAGGAGGATTGCTGCCAGTTCAAGACCATCCTGGGCTATATGTTAAATTACCTTGGGCTACAGTATTGAGATCCACTCTTAAAAACAAAACAAAAAAGGGACAGTAAAACTGAAAACAGACTTTTTTTCTCTCAAAATGTCCCATCCCCTCAAGCCTCTTTAACTGTTTGCAAAGACTGCAAAGTAAACTTTGTTGTTCTTGTGCCTTTGCTTCACCTTTCCTAGAATGACTACAGAAAGTTGTCCATGCAGTGCAAAGACTTCGTCGTTGGCCTTCTGGATCTTTGCAGAAACACAGAGGAAGTGGAGGCCATCCTGAATGGGGACTCAGAAACATGCCATCCCGGAGAACTTGGTCGTCCGAATCTCAGCCGTTTAAAACTTGCCATTAAATACGAAGTAAAAAAAGTAAGGCCATGCATTATTTCAATCCTTATAGGTACTGGACATGGTTAGATAGAGCTGGGGTTTTCTAATTAGGTGGGATCTTAAGGAATCATGAGCAGCTAGTGAGACATTTATCCCACATGACATGGGGTACTCACAGTCTAGGCTTATTTATAATCATGGTAAGTGCCACTTTGCCTAACTTGTAATAATCTGACGATGACTCCATACATGAAAATCTGAAGGTGTCTGTTATGTGATGAGAAGATTGGTATAGTATTTCAGACTCCACTATTTTCCCACTGGTTGCTAGTTTCCAATTTGGACCCAGAGCCTTCTAAATCTTTGCAGGGTAATATTTAGATGCTGTCTTTATATAGTGGCCTCTACGCATCAGACCATCTTCATAGAGTATGAAGAATCATTTAAATATTTATAATTACTTTTAATATTTATTTTTTATGTGTGTGACTTTGTGCATGCATGTACATGTGCATACAGGTACACCTGGATGCCAGAAGGGTACTGGAACCCCTGGGCCTTGAGTTACAGGCAGTTGTAAGCTGCCTGATGTGGGTGCTGGGAACTGAACTCTGGTATTCTGGAAGAGCAGCAAGTTCTCTTTAGCTGCTGAGTCATCTCTCTAACACCTAAAAAAGTTTTGAAATTTGGTTTTATAATAAAAGTAACACCTGTTTATGGTAAATATTCAAACAGTGTCGACATGCTGCCTCAATCTCTCCAATTAATCAGAGAGTAATTAACCACTACTGTTTCTTTCCATAAATTTATATCTTGGACATTTTCACATATCAGTCAATAAACACATTGTATCATTCTATTCATTTAATTAGATTACTAGGCAAAGATGTTGATTATTTTTTTAATCATTGGTAATTATGATATTTTATCTACTTTTGTATGGTGGAAATATTTATGTGGCTTGCTTCTTTGCATAAGTCTTAAGTGCACACAGAATTTCTGGGCATGAAATTGGCATGTTAGAATTTTATATTTTACTTACATTTCAGAATATTATGGAAATTTCCCTTCAAAAAAGGTGTGTCTGTAAGGCTGGCATGGTGACACACACCTTTAATTCTAGCACTCAGGAGGCAGAGGCAGAGGCAGAGGTGTTGGATCTCTGTGAGATGGAGGTCAGCCTAGTCTATATAATAAGTGCAAGGCCAACTAGGCTACTGAGAGACCCTGTCTCAAAAAAACTGGAAAAATAGATGCATCTGCTTACCAACAGTAGTGTGTAGAAGGCTTCCTTCCACCCACAATGCTGTCCTCAAGTGTTGCCATTCTGAGCAGTGAAATAGTGCTTCTTGCCCTCATTATCATTGAAGTAAACTATTCATTGTTAGTTCTTTGTATAACCTGACTTTTCCTTACCAAATATTATTTTGGGTGAATGCTTTTTTGGTATATTAGCTAGCTTTAACCTTTTTTATGTAAAACATAAATAAATGCAAGAACAGAAAACATTTATAAAAATAACTATGAGAATAAAATCTCTGAAAATATAAAAATTGAAATTTAATTATTTTAATTGAAAGGGCAAAGAAGAATAAAGAAAGCTTTTAGTGGAACTGGGTAGGTATACCTGACAGAATCCAAATACAGATGGGCTCTCCATGTGAAGAAATGTGGCATTTCCATCAGTGAAGGAAAGTTGGAGTGATGACTCAGTGATGATACTGCTTTTGCAGAAGAACCAAATGTGATTTAAAGACCTGTATTTCCAACTTCAGGAGAGAGATCTGATGCCCTCTTCTGGTCTCCGTGGGCATCTGCACTCACACACACACAATTACAAATAAAATGAACGTTTAAAAACAAGCAATATTTTGACATATAAGCTAGTAGACCTTTATCTTATTTTTTTCCTAAATAAAAAGAAAAATATATAAAATTTATAAAAGTACTATTTAGCACTATTTTGTATGAAATAGTACTAAATCTTTTAATAATATTAAATATGCAAACCTTTATATGTTTTGAAAGAAAGTCCATTAGTCAGTAAGGGGGAATTTGATAAATTGGAATATCTGAATTTGCACAATAAATACCAGAATGTTTTGCTGTTTTGATGGATGCCTGTTCATTAGATATTTTGTTTGTTCTTTAATTCTAGCCATATTTCTGAGGGGGGAAATACAGAAAATACAGACCCAGACATTAGACACATGAGCGTATCTCATGCGGGGCCTTTCTTTAGCCAAGCTGTTAAGTGTTGCCATCTCCCTGTAGTTTGTAGCTCACCCGAACTGCCAACAGCAGCTCCTGTCCATATGGTATGAGAATCTGTCTGGTTTACGGCAGCAGACCATGGCAGTGAAGTTTCTCGTGGTCCTCGCCGTCGCCATTGGACTACCTTTCCTGGCTCTCATTTACTGGTGTGCTCCGTGCAGCAAGGTATGTCTGTGAAGTCTGTGACTCTGTCATCAGCTGGAATTCTGTCCAACCAGGGCACGTTCCAGTTCCAAAATGAAAACCTAACTGAAATACGTGAGTTTAAATACTTCCTTTTTATTGTTTGAGAACCTCATACCTGCCTTTGAATGTGTTTTGATCAAATCTACCCCCACTGTTTCCTCCCCAATTCCTCCTCTGTTTCCCACCACTTTTCCTTCCTAACCTCATTTGCTCATTTAGAAAAGCCACGGAGTCTAGTAAGTGCTGCCCATATGTTCATGGGTATAAGGGCCTCTCCTGGAGTGCTGGAAGCCACTCAGGGGACACATCCCTGGAGAAAGCAGACTCTTCCTTTCTCAGTACCATCAATTGCCAATACCTTCCCGGCCAGTGGTGCAATCTGTGCTGGGATTTTGTCTGGCTTGATCTTGTGCAGGTCTTGTGCATGCTGTCACATGTGCTGTGAGTTTATGTGTGCAGTGGCCCTGCCAAGTCCAGCAGATGGTTTGGCTGTAGACATTGAGTACCTCTGGCTCTTACAATCTTTGTGCCCCATTTTCCAGGATGATCCCTGAACCTTGAGGGGAGGGACTGTGACATAGATTCCCATTTAGGGCTGAGCACTCTACAGTCTATATTATTATTATTTTAAATTTATTTTTATTTTGTATGTATGAATGTGTACCCATGTGTACAGTACCCATGAAAGCCAAAAGATGGTGTTGGACCCCTGGAACTGGAGTTATAAATGGTTGTTAGCTGCCATGTGGGTGCTAGAATCTGAACCCAGGTCTCTGGAGGAGCAACCAGTGCTCTTAACCACTGAGCCATCTGTCTCTCCAGCCCATTTTTCTTCCTTCTCCTCCTCCTCCTCCTCCTCCTCTTCTCTTCCTCCTCCTTCTCCTTCTTCTTCCAGGGACTCCCCAGCCCCAGCCTGCCTAGAACTCACTATGTAGACCAGGCTGGTCTCGATCTCACAGATATCTGCCTGTCTCTGCTTCCTGAATGCTGGCATTAAAGGCATGTGCCACCATGCCCATCCCCTTATTCTTTTTTAATATTTTAAAAAATAATTCATATTTGCTATGGGAAATAAAAAAACTAGAGAAAGTTCACCTGCAATATCATCACTATGTGTGAAAGAAAATCTTAGTTACTCTATTAATTATTCCTTAATTGTTTTTCCAAGGCATATAGATCCACAGAGTTTTATGCATTTCAATGGAGTCCTACTATCATTTGGTCCATTTGAACTTTCACCAAAAAGGCTAGGCCTTTTTAGTGAAATTTCAAATAGACCAAATAATTCTCTTTTTGGCACTGAGGACTGAACTCAGGGCCTCACACATGCTAGAAGGAGCTACATCGTCAGCCCTGTTTTACTGTTTGAGACAGGTTCTCACCAAGAACCTCATTCTGTAGACCAGTGAGGCCTTGAACTTGTGACCTGCCCACCTGACTCCCACGTAGTTGGGCCTACAGGTCTGCAACCCTAAGCTTGAGGAATAGTGACCTATCATTCTAACAGTAGGCACAGAAATGCAGGGCCTGGATTTCTAGTGGTCTTTGTCTTTATGTTTCTAAAGCCACCTTTCTAACTCTGTCAGTCTTGAATTTGAGAGGCTGACTGAAATAATTCAAAGATAAATGTCTTTTGAGCTATTTTGTGTGCTGTATAAAAATTTCAGATGATCAATGGCATCGCTAGACACAGGCATGTCTCACTTCAAACATTTGTAACATGTGGGGAGCACACATGTTGCTAATTCCAGCATATTGTCTCTCGTCACTCAGGCACGTAGACGGTATTTTAGCCACTGAGGGACTTCTCCCAGTGACTCATGCTAGAATGCTGGTACAAGGTCTCTCACACAATGATAATAGACATATCAGAAATGCCTTATATAGCACAGATTTCCTTTTAGAAAGCTGCGTTCCCATCCCAGTTAAAATATTTGTAATTTTTATTTATTATTGTTGTGCCTGTGTATAGATTATCCAACTAAAACCCGTATGTCTAAAGATTCAAAGCTATCATCCATGTATGAGAGACAACATGTGATTTTTGTCTTTTGTGGTCTGCGTTACCTCACCAGGATGTTTTTTCCAGTTCCATTGTGTAAATATATCACATTTTCATTATTCATTCCTCAGTTGATGGACCTTAAGTTGTTTCCAATTCCTGGCTATTGTGACTAGAATGGGAAGTAACATGGATGAACAGGTATTTCTGTAGTAGGTACGGAGTCCTTTGGGTATGTGCCCAAGAGCGGTATGGCTGGATCGTGTGGCAGACCTGTTTCTCGCTTTGTGAAGAGCCGCCACACTGATTTCCACAGTGGCTGCACCAGTTTGTATTCCCACCAGCAGTGGCTAAGTGCTCCCCCTTCCACATCCTCACCAACATCTTGAACCTCATCTGACTGGAGTAAGATGAATCTCAAAGTGGTTTTAATTTCCATTTCTCCGGTGGTGTAAAGGTGTTGAACACTTAAAAAATATTTCTCAGTCATTTGAATTTCATCTTCTGAAAAATCTGTTTAATTTCTCACCTCAAGTATTTTTGATATTTAGTTTTTGAGTTTTTTTCTTTTTATAGTCTTTTGTATATTCTAGATACTAACCCTTCTTTTGTCAGAGGTAAAAGACTTTTTCCCATTGTGTAAGCTGTCTCGTCCCTCTAATTATGGTGACGATTGATGTACAGAAGCTTTTTAGTTTCATGAGGTCCTATTTATCAATTGTTGGTCATAATGCCTGTGTTATTTGGGTCCTGTTCAGTAAGTCCTTTCCTGGGCCTGTAAGTTCCAGTGTATTTCCTACTTTCTCCTTTATCAGATTCAGGGTATCAGGTCTTTCACTGAGGTCCTTGGTGCTTTTGGAGTTGAGTTTTATGTGGGAGATAAGGATCAAATTTATCTTTCTGCATGGAGCTATCTATCTGATCAGCACTTACTGCTTTGACAGTTTCATATATCTATATTTTAGTCATTTTTGCCCCACAATTATCCCTTTTAGTCCTTCCCCCTCTTTAGTTTATGTGATTGAAATACTTTAGAGCACTCAATGCTTAAATTCCTCACAGTCTCGGATGGGGGTTTACAAAAAAATATTTCCCCAGTGCATGCTATATGCTGATACTAAGAAAATTTTCATAGCAACTCTTCCAGTTTTTTGGTTAAGATGACTGAGTTAAGAAGTTTTCTCCAAGGTAGATTTAACTTTTGGGAAATTTGATTTCACAAACTTCTGAATTCTGGTACAATTTTTCAACATCTTTTTGAGTTACAGATTTAATGAAGTATGTTCTAAATGGTCCTAATTTGAACACAAACTATGTGTATGTTTTCAGTCTGTTACATCTCTGCTTGTATTTTCTGAGTCTTCTGAAATTCAAGCTGAATTAAAAGGGGCAAGAGTTTCTGACTCATGGTTGTGTTCACTCTGTGATCGTGTAATTGTAATCTCTTTTCTAAAATGAATAATGTTCTTCTCCCATAACCAGTGAATTCAAAATCATGATGCTTTCCAGAGTACCTGGGGCTTTGACTCAGGCTATTTGTGGTATGCCTCAGATTTACATGTTTCTCAAATTTTAATCAAATCCTAATTATCTGATTTCCTCACTGTTTCTTCTTCTCTGACCATGTTTCCTCTGACATCTGTTTTCAATCCTCACTTATAAACACAAAGGCAAATAATCAAATTAAATGGGCATTATCAAAGTATTCTCTCATATCTAAACTGTTTTATTGACTATTATTTATCCTCTGAATCATGATGACAAAACCTGTTTTGTAATTTTTCCCATTAGTAATGAGCATACACATTATTTACAGGTTGCAGAACTTATTGTTTTTTTCAATTAGGAAGAGAGAGCTCTGGCTAAATTGATGCTTTTATTTACATGGATTTAAAATATTTTATATTTTCTTTGGTTTCCATGGAGCAATACAGATCAAACTGTAGGAATATACGTCTTCACACAGTCCCTGTTTCTGTCTAAATTACTTATAACTAAAAAGAACAGGATATGTAATATTTAAGGAAAAACATTTCTTTTAATGCATTTAATTCAATAATTAAGCTAGGCTATTCAATTTATTTAACAAGTAATTCAACTTATTCAACGATGTCTCCCTATCTATATTTTATAATTTTGTTTTCATCCCAGAATAGATGGATGGAAAATTTTACTATAACAATTCTCCTTAATTTCCCAGACCTCTCCAGTCCGTGAGGTCACACCAAAGGCCTGTATTGCCAAAGGTCTGTATCACCCACAGCATCAGGGAGGTGGAACATGAGCTTATTTTCTTCTTTTTAGCCAGGCCTAGAGGCATAGGCCTTTAATTCCAGTACTCAGAAGGCAGGGGCAGGTGAATCTCTGTGAGTTCAAGGCCATCCTGGTCTACATAGTGAATTCCAGGTCAACTGGGGCTACTCCTAAGGAGACCCTGTCTCAAAAAGACCAAAAAAAAAAAAAAAAATCTAAAGCCAACTGAAATAAATATAGCCAGGTACAATGGCACATGCCTATGATACCAGCAGGCAAGCGGCAAAAGCTGGAGGATCTCAAGTTCAAGGCCAGACACATCTCAAATATATATATATATACATACATATATATATGTCAATTATATATAACTCAGTTTTCCATAATAAGTGAAGGACATGAGGATTTAAATACACTATTTTACTTTCCTGAAAATGCACTTTTATTTACTTTCATTTTCTGTTTGCTTAAAAAAAAACACCTAAATTTCATTCATGTACAAAATAATGGGCTTCGTTCTGACGTCTTGTGCACATATTCATTGTCTACTTCTCGTTTCCATCCCTGCGTCTGGCGGGTTTTACTCATTATTTTAAGAGCTGTCCAGAGCCTTGAGATACAGTCTAGATCCTCCTTCTGCCTAGGCTACATTTTAGACAGAAATTAATCCTATCCTGTCATCACACAGTAGATCTTATCATCTCTAGATCTACGAAAAATTTGATTTTCACAGAATGTAAGAAATGCACTCATTGTCACCCAGCTAATGGGGTTTGTGTGAGTCAAGGTGAATTCTGGACCTAAAATGTTGAACTTTAAATCCAGTGTCCCTCTAGCACACTTCTCTGAAATGCCCTGTCCCCCACAGGAGGTCTTGTTTTGGTCCTCATGACTTTTAAGCCCTGACAAAATCACCAGACAGGAGCATTAGCCAAAATCTGAACTGCTTGTGTGTCAGTGAGATACACGGGACACAATAAGCAGGACCTATGCTCTGCAAAGCAGACTTCATGTAGAATTCTCATTGTCTTCTGTACTCTAGGCCCACTAAATGAGTTTGCTTCCTCTGAATAATGCTGATGTTATCCTCTGCACTTTAACCAACATTATATAATACCTCAAGAACTTAAGTATCTGTGATAGAAAAGCTAGTGTTCAATTATTAATTGAGAAGATGATCAAATGTACTCAGAACAAAGTGTACTCAGTGAGACCAAACTTTTATAACAGCAAAGAAATTAGTATTCTTTCACTAATTGTATAAAAATAGCGTGATTATTTTAGGAGAGCATTGGAATATGCAAATGTTTATTCTTTCATGTGCGCGCCCGTGTGTGTGCGTGTGTGTGTGCGTGTGTGTGTGTGTGTGTGTGTGTGCTTACAGAGTATTCAAAATTAAGATTTTCTGTTGGTGTGTGTTGTGGCAGATGGGGAAGATAATGCGTGGACCATTCATGAAGTTTGTGGCACATGCGGCCTCCTTCACCATCTTCCTGGGGCTGCTCGTCATGAATGCAGCTGACAGATTTGAAGGCACCAAACTCCTTCCTAATGAAACCAGCACAGATAATGCAAGACAGCTGTTCAGGATGAAAACATCCTGCTTCTCATGGATGGAGATGCTCATTATATCCTGGGTAATAGGTAAAGAGTGATTTTCTGTCCTCGTTCCTTTGTGCAGCCTTAGTAATTGGACTGAATGATGCTGATTCTTCCACAGTCAGCTATACAGATGTACGCGGCAGGACACAATGCTCCACGCACTGTGATTTTCTTTGTGATCTTAAAGCACAGTTGCCGTGGGCTCATTATCATGTCTGGTCTCCTCATTTACCCTGTGATATTTGCATTAAAAAAAAAAAAACAGGAAGAAAGTCAGCTGGATACTATTAACCAAACCCCACCATTGATTAAAAAAACCCAAAACCTTCCATGCATATTTTGGTCGAACTGTCATCTCAAGCCTGAAAACAACCATGCAGTTTTATGATGAGATTTATTAGAAACTCAAGCTAATAACCACTCATATTTATTGAATATTTATTATGCACCAGGAATTATTCAAAACACTTTACATATGCCAAGCCACACCATCTCTCTGTACTTCAGATTTCTGATCCATTACATGAAATAATATCTATTTTATAGAATTATGTGAAGATTAGGCTTACTTCTCAGGGGACAAGTGGAGGAGGAGGCATTCAGTCTGAGTCACTGCATTATCTGGCATTAGAATCCACTTATACCTGCGGCTTGTCATTAAATACAAAACACATGAGAAAAATGTTTCAGTTAGATGTTTATGAGTAAATACATTCAATAGCTATTGTTTCATTAGATAATAAAGGTACTAAGTTGAGTGAAATACAGTCTTTGCATTAAAGGAAGCTGTCTAGGGAACAAGTCAGTAAACAAATCAATAATTAAAGCTCAGCTGTTGACATTCTATGGCGATACAGATTGGACATCTAACTCTGAGCAAGGTGGGATATAGAAGGAACAGAGAAACTGCCCCTAAATTAAAAAAATTATGTATTATTTATTATTTTATGTGTATGAGTGTATTGCCTGCATGTATGTCAGTGCACCCATGTCATGAATGCTGCAGAGATCAGAAGAGGGCACCCACATGGCCCCTAAATATTAATAGCACCTTCAAGTTGAGGCTTTGAGGACAAGGAAATACTGAGTGGAGCATTTGGGGCTAAGGATGTTGAAGGAATGGGAATATCGGGTGTCAAATGTGGAACCATGGTGCTGGAGAGATGGTTCAGTGGTTAAGAGCACTGGTTGCTCTTACAGACCTGTTGAATCCCAGCCCCCACATGGTGGCAAACAGCCATCCATCACTCCAGTTCCAATCTGACATCCTCTTCTGGTCTCTGTGGGCCTTGCATGGCACAGGTGTACTTGCATATATGCAGGCATAATATTCAAACACATAAAAATAAATAAA